GGGAGAGAAAGAGACAGATAGAAAAAGAAAGAGACCGAAAGAGAGAGAGGAGAGAGAGAAGAAAGAGAGAGAGAAGAAAGAGAAGTGAGAGATTTTTGTTTTTTTACTGCAGCCCAACGATTAATCGAAAAAACAATCGGTCAACTAATCGATTATGAAAATAACTGTTAGGTGCAGCCCTATAATAATCGTATGTATGGGGTTCCTGAGCGCACGTGGGGTCTCTTTGTGAGCGCCTGGTTAGGAACAACACGGTGACCGCACACGTACCGATTGGTCGCCTCGATCGAATTATCCTAACAGATTGAATTGCACACAAAGCAATAACAATAAAATAATAAAAATAACAATAGCAAAATAATAATAAAAAGATGTGATTGTTTTTGGCCGAGATATGTTCATCATTTGTCCAGCCCAGGAATGTATCAATCGTTTCTCATCGATGTCAGAGAACCGATCATAGGTAATGATTGATTATGAAAAGAAACTATATTGAAGATGGATCGATGAGACAGTATCGGAGTGTGTGGAGTCATGTGACAATTCAATCGATGAGGAATCGCCCTTTCCGCCATCACGCGATGATAAATAGCAAACCTGTACGGTGGGCCTGAGATGCAGATGGAAGGATCGTGTATGGCCGTTCAGAAGCTGCATATTGATGACAGATGTTGACTTTGAAGTCTGCCCATCGATTGAGTCGGATTTCACCACGAGTCTCCCGTTCAACGCCTTTCTGCATTCCTTACTGTACGATCAATTAAGTCAACCAGTTGCTATAAATGTAATATAGAGGACGCTGATCACCGGGTCTGATCATACATGTAGGGATCCAAATCTAGATCTGTAACACCGGCGATCGACCCTTGATTCAAAGCGTAGAGCGTGCCAAGAGAATGCCGTATCCACGTTCTGCTCTACCGACCACAAATCAGCCTCCCAGTTCACTTACATGGCAGACACCTTATTTCCAGATTCAACCAATCGCGTCACACACATCTCTGCGCATCATCACATTGCTTGAGTCCCCGAAACGTTGTTTGCGTCAATAAAAGACATGCGTGCACTACTGGAGCGCCGGTGATCTTCATTCTACACATATCTGTGCATCTCAACATCTGTCCATGGCAGAAAAGAACGCCCGCAGCCCACATACACAAAGCCGGATGTTAAAGAGCCAATACACGTGCAGAATGTATACAAAGAGGGCGTGTCTTAGACCATCTCCGCCGACAAGCGTGACATCTATGACCGCTTTTATGCTACAGTTTTATTAGCATGGCGCAGAAGCTGCCGGGGCCAGTTTGGCGCTGTCCAACGCCCGTTTCTATTGACCCGGACCAGTGCTCTGATTTTTACCCATCGCCGAGGATGTCCTGCAGCTTTTGCAGCCTCTGCGCAACGGTGTGCAGGTGTGTGCGCGCAGCTTTAACACACCTGGAATATTAATGAGTGTTGCAATGTGACAAGTACAAGAAAGAAAGAAAGAAAGAAAGAAAGAAAGAAAGAAAGAAAGAAAGAAAGAAAGAAAGTCAGGAAGACGGCGAGCATCTCCGTGCACTCCCAGCCTGAATATGAATTGGCCAGCCTAGAATTCCCTGCTCTCTAGCTGGCTGATGGCTCTTTACAGAACTTCCTGGGGGTTATCTGCAGCTGTGCTGTGCAGGACAATGCTGCACCCCTCCCATGTTATGGAGAGCTCCCCCCTCCTCCCAGCGATCATGGTACCTACCTGCCTCTGCTGCCCCCCCGACTCCGCACCGTGCTGCCTCCCCCGCACTGACAGCAGTAGCAGCAGCAGCAGCCCGACCAGCCCCGATCCTATTCTCCCCAGCACAGGCCTGCCGACTGAATAGTACTCCCAGCATGCTCAGCTTCAGCACCAGCTGGGGCTCATCTTAAAGGGGCTATGTCTATTTTTCTGCCGTGTTAAAAGGGAAACGCGAGCTGCGAGCGGCTTTCATGCCACTTATTTGCAGATCGTGTCCACGGAGAAGAAACTTTTCTGCGTCTGTATTTTATTTATTTCATTTCTTTTGTGCCTTTTAAAAAAATAAATAAAACGAGAGAGATGTTGTAGAACAATCTATACATTGCACATTATTATAGTGGTTTTGGGTCTGCTTGAGCACATGTGATGTGCTGGGACATTCTCGAAATTATTATTATAATTATTATTATCTGTAATATAAATACATGTAATACATAAATAATTATTTCTCTGCAAACTGCATTATTTTTTTTTTATTCAATGAAAATGTTTCTCACTTTTAAAAAAAGGATCAAAGTAAATATAAATATAAAATGTGTTTATTTTTAGAACTATTATCACTGCTAATAATTGAATTGTTGCTGCTGCTGTTCTGTGCATCAGCTATAACTGATTGTCTGCAGTGCAAATCTGCTCCAGATTTTGTCTGCTCCAGTTTTGATAAATTCCCCCCCTAGTATGTGCAGGGACTGGATAAAGGATGTGGACCTCAGAATTATTTTTATTTTCTTTAGGTTTTTTTTTCATTTTTATTATTATTTTTCTGTTAGTTGTATTATTTTTTTTAATTCCCTGAAAATGTTTCTCACTCCATGATTAAATACTCCATACCATGATTAAAGTGAAGTGAAGTTAAAAAAAAGTTTGTTAATAATTGTATTGTTGCTGCTGTTTTGTGCATCAGTTATATTATTATACAGGATGTATATAGCGCCAACAGTGTGCGCAGCGCTTTACAATATTTGGAAGACATTACAATCACAATACAATTCAAGACAAGATGGTAAGGAGGGCCCTGCCCGTTATATGTGATGTGCAGGGACTGGATAAATGATGGGGACCCTGAAAATACTATTATTTTTATTATTATTGTTGTTGTCATTATTATTGTTATTTTTTTTCTGTTAATTGTATATTATTTGTTTTAATTTCCTGAAAATGTTTCTCTCTCTATAAAATGATTAAAGTGAATAAAAAAATAAATGTAATATTTTTAAAATTATTATTAATATTCTTTGGAAATGTTTCTGTTTTAAAGTATAATTGAAGCCTCCGGGGTTTTTTTTTTATATATCTACTGCTAGCAGTAGATATATGCAAAAAGTTTTTTTTTTAAATCACTTTGAAAAGGTTTAATACTTACCTGTGTCTTACCTCCACCCCCGCGCTCCCGTCTTAAAATCTAAAAATTCTCGGGCGGCCGCAAAGCATCTTGGGGCGGGCGCATGCGCAGTTCGGATTTTCGGCCAGGAAACGAGGAGAGACACAAGGTAAGTCTATGGGTGCGTGCACCCGCATGCAGACACCGTGGGACAGGAAGTGCCAGCAAGGACAGAGGAGTCAGCGCTGGATCGGAGATTCGCCGCAGCGCTGGAGAGAAGGCTGAAAACTACAGGAAAGAAGAAGAAGATCGGATTAAGAGACATCATTTAAGGTAAGTGCTTACACTAACATTGGGGGTAGGGGAAAAAAGCGTATCCTTTAATGTCACTATAAGGTCCATTTCACATGGCCGCTCCGATCGGGTCCGCCTGAAAAACTGATGGGATGCCCAATGCAAGTCTATGGGCAGCCGTGTGTAAACACCTGGTTACCCCTGACTACGGCTGGGTTCGTAAAAACAAATGGATCAGAGATCCGTTTCTCCAAACTTGAACGTGCCGGATCAGGGTAATCTGATGAACACAGACACATGTCTGTTTACATCCGTTTCCCCATAGATGTCATGGAGTCCGGTCATTTCAGCAATGGGGGAAAAAACTGTAAGGACACAGATGTCACAACCGTGACATCTGCTCTGTACTGCTATGATCAGGAGAGGAGCCGTGCATGGTTCCCCTCCTGATCACAGGGGTGTGAAAGACACCCATCAGCTTTGTTAGGAATAGAAAATCAAAGTTTCTATTTTGTTTTACATATTTTGATGTTTATATAAGACTAAAAGTCAATGTTTATTTTTAATATGTTTTATTATTATTTATTTATTTATTATTTGCAGAAAGAAAACATCACACAAGAAAAGGCCGGCAGGTGCAGCTCCGTGCTGCGTGCACGGCTGTATCAGGCAGCTCGGGAGAAGGACAGGTGCTGCGTGTGATTAGTACGCATCCCCTGTCCTTCTCTATGAGACTACGCAGCTGTACGCTGCCCTACGCTCACCCGAACTGCTCATCCGTACAGGTGCGAGTGTCCATACTCGTATGCTAACAGGATGGATCCTGTCTGTGTCCGAGCCGGGACGCCCGCACCTGTACGGACCTGCACTTGGGGTGAGCGTAGGGGGGCGTATGGCCACGTAGTCCCATAGAGAAGGACAGGGGCTGCGTACTAATCACACGCAGCACCTGTCCTTCCCGGGAGCTGCCTGATACGGCCGTGCACGCAGCATGGAGCTGTACGTGCCGGCTTTTTCTTGTGTAAATGAGGCCTAATAGTGCAATGGAACTTTCTAGTGGACAATTATTTTCTGCCGTCTTGTCCTAAAATGGCTACACATGTTACAATCTGATTGTACACTTTTTCTAGAATCGTTTTGAGGGCCTGCTCTCACCAGGTCCGGATCATCTCCTGACCAGACCAGATTGTTTCCAGACCCAAAATGCATCCTAATGTATCCCTGTGCTATTTCTGGCCTATGTTCACACCAGCGCAGTCCGTTCCAGACCAGAAAAATACTGCATGTCTCATTTTGTCTGGTCTGGAAATGCACTGGAACGCATCAGGACGCAGTAAAAACTCGGCAAAACGCAAAGCACTGCGTTCCAGATCTGGTCCGGAAAATGGTGTGTAGCTGCAGTGAATAACTAGGTAGTGTGAGTGCCTACCCATACAGTGGGGTGGAGTTACTTGAAGGAGCAGAGCATGTTCACTTTGAAAGTAAAGTTTCACTTGTATTGAATGAGGTGAAAATTCACATTGCAGATACACCCAATCGTGCAAAGAAGATTAAAACAAAACTGGATTTTTAATTGCACTTGTCTAGATAACTGAAGTCAGCACAACTTCACCCAGTGGCGTCACAAGGGGGGTGCAGCCCGCACCCGGGTGACACCAAAATGACTGACAGTCATGTTGGTGTCACCCCCTCTAAAAAGTCAGGCACTCAGTCATGGACAGAGAGACGACAGTGTCAGGAGAGAGGAGGGGACCCGGCGGCATACCTCATCCCACCGAGTGAACGTCCCCTCCTCTCTCTGCCGGCGTCCATCACCAAGATGGCCACCGGCAGGCGCCAATCAGATGGCCGCGCATGCCCGATGACGTCATCGCACACATGCGAGGTGATGTCATCGCACACATGCGAGGTGACGTCACGTGCAAGATGACGACACGGCAGGGTGTGACCAGGTGACACCCGGCCAAGGGACGCCCCTGACTTTACCGTCATTCATTTCTCTTTGGAAAGGGAAATTTTATATCTGATCATTTTAAAGTAGTATCAAACATTATGGGCCCAGTCGTACCATATCCAGTGCGTGTCAGGGCGCTTCGAGCCCAGCACGCACTGGATCGCATAGATCAAGCCGGGCAGCGTTCTGGGGCAGGAGGGGGCGTGCATGCACTATTTTTTCAGATCGCACTGCACTGGAATGGAGGGCATTCCTGTACCTCGTGTTCCGGGGGGGGGCATGTCTGCATTGACATGAGTGGCACCGACACACCCCTCCCACCCCAGAACACTGCCCGGCGTGATCTAGTGCGTTCCGAGCTGGGAACGCACTGGATATGGTGCGACTGGGCCCTAAAAAAATTTCAATAATGAATCCAGATCAAACAAATATACAGTACATTGCCGAGCAAGGATTGTCCATTTACTAGGTTGGAAAAGGGAGGATGGGGGAGCGGGGAACAGGGAAGAGGCTTGCCTTGCTGTGTGTTTGTGGAGAGACACACCCAGCCTACTAGCACACACAAAGGTGGCTCTGTAGGACCCTGCAAAGGAAAGGAGCCACCCTAAAGGTCGGTTCACACCATCTGCGAATGCAAGACATGGATGGGCTTGTTTCACTTCACCGCATTCTAGTGGTATGCGCTTGCGGCATGCAGTACTTTTTATGTGCACCACAGCGAGACCTGGTACAACCGCATTGCATTAGGGCGAGCCCTTAGAACTGAATGAAATGTCACTCGTGACATTTCAATAAAGTTTTAACAAGAAAAAAGAAACAGTGCAATGTGGCTCGATCGAGTCGTAGTGTCTGAGGACACACACAACAGCAGCTGTGCAGCTGCTGGTGTGAACGTACCCTCAGGGCCGGTTCACACCAGCTCCGGTGCGTTCCAGCACAATTCGCTACTGGAGCACATCCCAGCCGGCTTCCTGCGTTCAGGTGTGGGAGGGGGTGTGGCGGTGCGTTGAAGTCAATGGCACCGCACCCATGCCAGCCGCCCGTACCAGAACACGTGGCACATCAATGACTGCGTTCCGGTCCAGTTTAATCTGAAAAAATAGTGCATGCAACATTTTTTTCAGATTGCACTGGACCTGAACGCAGGCATTGATGTGTCACGTGTTCTGGTACAGGCAATTGCACTGCGGGCGGAGGGGGGGGCATGGCAGCGGTGCCATTGACTTCAACTAACTGCCACGCCCCCTCCCACCCCTGAATGCAGGAAGCCGGCCGGATGCACTCCAGTGCGTTGCAGCAACGATTTCTGGTTGGGTTCAGCAAATGTCCAAGTGAACCGAACCCAGGCCGGATCACTCATCATTACTCTGGACCAGTGGCAGTGGTCGGCAGGACAAATATGTATAATGAGTGCGCTAACAACCAGGGGTGTCCCGAGGCTGGGTCTCACCCAGAGCGGAGACCGGGTG